AATGGGGATGGGTGTGTTAGAGGCAGTGTGATTGGCACAGGATAGAGCAGAGTTTAGGACTGTTGTAAATAGGGTCACTATGAGTCGCAAGCGACTTGATGGCACATAGCACTACCACCACCACCACCACCACCACCACCACAACAATCCTTGGACCAGAAAGTGGTCATCAGAACAGAGCAAGAAAACACTGCATGGTTCAAAATCAGGAAAGGTGTATGCCAGGGATGCATTCTATCTCCATACCTTTCAATCTAAATGCAGTATAGATCATCTGGGAGACTAGACTTTATGAGGAGGAATGTGGTATCAAGATTGGAGGAAGACTGATCAAAAACCTATGTTATACTGATAATAAAACCTTGCTTGCTGAAACGGAGGACCACCTGAGGCATGTGCTGCAGAAGGTCAAGAACTGCAGCCTTCAATATGGATTGAAGTTCAACATCAAGAAATCAAAGACTCCCATCACTGGGACAACTGGCAGCATCATGAAAGATGAAGAAGAAAATGAAGTTGTTAACAGCTTCAGCTTGCTTGGCTCCACAATCAACATTTTTGGTACCAGTATCCAAGAAATGAAAAGATGAATTGCACTGGGAAAAATTTGCTGTCAGGGACCTCTCCAGAGTATTGAAGATCAATGATGTCAGTCTGGAGACTAAGGTGCACCGGATCCAGACTATGGTCTTCATAATTACTTGCTATGTAGCACAGAGCTGGAAAATGACTAAGGATGATAGAGAAAACAGTGCCTTTGAGTTGTGATGCTAGAGAAGAGTACTGAAGGTATCATGGACTGCAAGGAGAAACAAAAAGGTCTGTCCTAAAGAGGGTGAAATCAAGCTGCTACCTGGAGGCAAGGAAGTATGTGAAGTTCAACCTCACATACTTTGGGCAGGTTGCCAAGAAGGCCCAATCCTTGGAGAAAAACATCATGCCTGGAAGGGTGGAGGGAAAGAGCAAGAGAGGAAGACCCAGGATAAGATGGACTGACTCAGTTATGGGGGGAATGGTGGTAGGTGTGCCAGAGACAATGAAATTGGCTCAAGAGAGTGCAGGGTTCAGAGCTGTTGTACACAGGATCATTGTGACTCAAGGCACATAACAAGAAGTATGTAATACACAGAACAATGGATGTTTCAATCAAAATGCAAATTCACCTTTTCCTAACAGGGATAGTTTATTTTTTGGTAGCTTACCTGCTTTCCTTTGGGACTTAAAATTAATAAACTTAGAAGTTGACATAGTGATGATGTATCTTTGGAAAAAAGAGATCATCTACTTTATTTAGCATGCAGCTTTTTAAAAGCATTTTTAGCTGCTGAAGATGACCATTTCATATTTTCCCCCTGACAATTCAAGGCAAGGCATGTAAGTGTACTTTACAGAAAGAGTTCTACAGCAGGAAAGTTAGCTGTGTTGTTTTGGATACTGGCTTCGTGTGGTTTGAACAGAACATTAGAGATACAAGCAGTGGTTGCGTCTTGTGGGACTCAACCCATAGCTGACCCTCTAGGGGGTTTTCAAAGACAGTAAATGACGTGAGAGGAGACTGTCATCTTCCTCCTGAGGAGCAGCTGGTGGATTTGAACTGCGTGCCTTTGGACTGCGGTGTAGTTTCTTAACAGTCAGTCCCCAGAGCTCATAAAGGCACAGGTAGTCCTTTTTTTTTTAAAAAAAAAAATTATTATATTTTGTGTGTATCATCAAATTAGATCTGACTGGTACAGGAGGAGATTGCCCCTTCTTCATCAGCAGAGCATCTGGTGGATTCAAACCGTGTACCTCTGTGGTTGGAGTGCAGCTTCTTGCCGCTAGGCCACCAGAGCCCCCTTAAGGTAGTCCTTTTATTGTGGACTATTGAATGAGAGTTTTTAGTGTAAACAAGATTTACATACAACACAATGGCTCAAACATCTTTCTTAAGGGTAATTTAGTCTCTTAGATGCATTCTTCTCTTTCCTTTTTTTGGTGTGTGTTTGTGTGTATCGTTAAATGGGATCCGGCTGGCACAGGAGATTGTCCCTCTTTCTTCAGTGTAGCATCTGGTGGATCTGAACTGAACGCCTTTGGGATTGCAATGCAGCTTCTTGGCACCAGGCCACCAAAGATCCCTAGATGCATTCTTTCCTAATATTCAGAACTAGGTGACACACACATGAAAACCAAGTCTGGACTATCAACAGCATTCAAAGGATTAAATACTGAAAGAAATGTCAGACTTATTGTTAAACACACTTTAAAATAATTTAAGATTTATATTAATAATTTAATAATTATTAATCTAGTAACTCAAAATAATTTAAAGGACCTTCTCACTCATTTCAGATAAACTCAGTGCAAAATTCAGCAGCCCATCTTTGGCTTCCAAAAATCCCAACAACCCAGCTTTGTCACCACTCACTCTTCATTCCTTTTTTGCATTGATGTGATCTTTATTCCCTTATTCGTAGATAGGGATGACTATGGTCCAAGGGAACAGCAGGACTAGACACCAAAGCTTTACATATAGAAATAAAACTCACAAATAAACAGGAAAATTTGGCATCCATGTGAGTTAGTATCTCAACCAGTGGGTTTGCAATCTTCTCACAATAAAGGCTCATTCCAGTAGACTGTGACTGTCTTCACTTTCCCTCTCTAATATCTACATTCATGACCTAATCTCTCTCATACTCAGACAATAAAGTAAAGAAAGCCCCAATAAGGAAGTAATTGAAGAAACAAAAGTTTCCTTGCCACAGCTCTTTCTTTCACCAATAACCCAATGGAGGTCAGTCTCATTTATCAGAACCAATTTCAAAACTTTTAAATGTCTTGATGCCCAGACATCAGTGTTTTTCAAAGCATACTAGAAGACTGCAATAGGAAATTAAGCTGAGAATGACTATACCAACTCAAGCTAAATAGCTCTCTGGTTTTTACATTGAAGCCATGTTTTCTATATAGAACTTTAAGAGGGATTTTTAAGATGATTCCTAGGTGCTGATCCTTATTCTCAAGGCCACCAGAGCTCTCTTAACTATTTTAATATTCGGGTATTTAAGTTTCAGTAAAGGACAGAAGGGTTTCTTAATTCATTGATACAGGAGACAAAGAAGTCCTTTGCACACTGTCACATCTGCCAGGACTGCTTTTGCTCCCTTATATACTATAAAATGCCACAGACATGCTTTGGGGCTCCCATTAAGCAGGACTAACATGGCATAGACACTTGATTCCTACAAGTTAAATGGCAAGCTGCACTAGATTCCCAAGTCTCTCTCTCCTACCTCCAGCAGGTCTATCATCCTGGTCATCTGTGAGTAGATAAGGACCCTATGTCCTTGAGACTTGAGCCGAGTCAGCAGAACATCAAGGGCATACAGCTTTCCACTGTCAGTGATGAGGCTTTCCTTGCCTGGGGAGAAGAAAAAGGGTGAGGGGGAAACTGTATTTAATTGAAACAGCAAAATCACTGACTGCAAAGCTGTATGCAGCCAAAATTGCTACAATTAGGATGCTTATCACCATAAAAAATGTCCTAGAAGAAGGCAAAGCACCATTAAAACCATGTCTCTAGTAATATTCCAAAAGAGGGAAACGTAGGCACCCTCCTAACTTATAGCTTTTATCAGACATCTATAGCCAAGGCAATGGAGAGCATCCTTACAAAGTGGGTACCAGGTACAGTTGATGTACCTGTATGAGAAGTTCACATTATTTCTGCTGTTAGTGACCTGAGAAATCGGCTTTCTCTTTGTTTATTCAGTATCTTGATATCTGCTTCTGCTAGTTTTGTGGTTGGATAGTTTACCTCAGATGGTACGAGAAAAGAGAAACAAGGGCTGTCTTTGAATATCCTTGTAGACACTTAAACACTGAAAATTGTAAATAAACTTATCGACATGACTTCTTCCCCTTCATCTTAAAATAAACCAAAATATCCTCTCCTGGATGATTTCAGGCAGGTTGGCTGGTAAATGCCATTATCCCAAACAGTAACACAATGAAGACAACAGGGCTTATTTAGCTTTTCTGTAAAAACTAATTTTGAGTTGCTGGAAAACACAGTTGCTTTCTAATTGAAGCTTTCTCCTTTCTCTTCCCTTCCCCCACACTTTAAAAAGCATTTCAGCCAGAGATCTTTAAGGAACACTTAAGTCACAAATTTTCATCTACTATCCATTGAGTATCATTCAACTCCCATCATATTTCAGGAAGCAGAGTTTCCTGTTTGCACACTGGGTCCATAAACATGCTCTGAACAATTGTTGCCATTAGGAGGGGGAAGATATGAGGCTTTCGGGGGTGTGGAACACAGACCGGGAGGAGAGAAATATTATACAAACAAGTAAAACAGAAAAGAAAATGGTTAGAAAAAGCGTGTTTTCCATCCTTAGTTCCTGAGTTTGAAGCAGAGCTCTTCTGAAGAACTGCAGAGGTGGACTGCTGAGAGCAATCCAAAAGTTCTCAACAGCCGGTTCTCTGTTCCCGCCACTATTTGCCAAGTGTACAATTATTGTATAAACTGAACAAGAACGAATGTGCTGACAACACCATAACAAATCACCAGCAGCTCTGTTTTTGTTACAAAGCCTTAGGTCCTGGATGTTTACTCCTCTGCACTAAAGCCTGACTTTTCCCACCTTCGGAACACTGCCAGGCCACAACCCCTCCCCTGATGCTGTCTGTGACACAACACCTTTGTTCAGTCTCTTTGTTTAGTCCTGTTTAGATTATGGAAATGCTCCTCATTCTGTTGCTCTCTACGAACACAATCAAACGACTGCAGCTTGGACACAACCAACTACTCAGCCTTGCATCAGACTAGAGATATATATTCCAAGGCAGCAACAATTTCATAATAACTTCAAGGTTTTCTTCTTGTCACTATCACTTTTCTCCTTTAATTGGATTAACTAATTTTGATAGCACCTAAACATTCCCCAGAGTTAAAAAAAGGCTATAAATGAGAATGCACAAGCCAAGCTCATCAGCTCTCTGCAGTCTGTTTACTTTCTTACCCCATTTAAACATATACACACTGAACAAATATTTAATCACATACAAACTTATCCTGTGAATTCTGAGAAGCTTCAATTAATTCCAAAATCATGATTCCATGATTTTCACTTGTCTCTCACATTTAAGATAATAACTACAGTGATCAGGATTAGGAAGGCTTAAAGTTGAAAATGGGCATATGAATGCTAAAGATGCAACGTTCATGCACCTGAAGGGGCAAGAAGGATACCTGTTGCAGGTTAATTTTTATGTAGTATGGGAGGAGAATTGTATTCACATGGCTCTTAGCCTAGTATTCCAAAGGAAAAGGCCTAAGCAGCTACAGACTTCAGCACTTGCCTTAAAACACCTGCAATTCACTCTGTAATTTCTTAAGAGCTACCAAGTTACAGTGGACAAGAGCACCACCTGGTGCTAAGCAAGGAACAGAGACAGCAGTAATAATACAATTCCCTAGAAATCAGGCTGATTCTGCCAAGCCAAACATGCCTCCAGCCTCTTTAAAACACAAGCTGAGCTGAGGGTGTGTGTGTGTGAGTGAGGTAAAAATGAACAAACTTAAATTATTCTGATCAACAGTCATTACAATCTTATGGTATTTCTATTTAGATAGTGGTTCTTACTATAAGATTCTGTGAGAAATAAAACAAGAATGTAGCCCATACATAAAAAATTACTCACGGCTACTGACTTAATTCCAACTCATAACAGTTCTGTATGACAGAAGAGAACTGTCCTATAGGGTACTCTACAAGGCTTTAAATTTTAACGTGGATAAATTGCCTCATCCTTCTTCCCTGGAGGGGCTCATGAGTTTGAAATGCCAATCTTTCAGTTAGCTGTCCAACACTCAAACCATTATGCTACAGAGATCCTTGATGAGAAATCAAATATCTTTTTTCAAACTGGCTTTGTGAGTAGGTGTGTTAAGTGAGGTATGCTTGCTTGCAATAATGAAACCTTTAAAGAAGGAAGTATACAGTCTTCTCCTAGTAAAACATGAACACTTATTAAAGGTGTTTTAAGTCTAAGGAATATAGCATAACCAATACTTCTCAGAGAAGCAAAAAAATGTGAAAGGAGTAAAAAAAAAAAAAAAAAGAGATAAATACAGGTTTCAGTGACTCTCCCTCACCCCACCCCAGCCAGACTACAGAGCACAATGGGGTCAGTGAGGAGATGGTTGGTTCTCACAGTAAACAGCCAGTAAGGCTGTTGGTTTTTATCGATGCTAAAAGAACTCAGACACTTCCTGCTATTTAAACAAGGTCCATTTTTCTTTCAAAGAACAGGAAAAGCCACAAGAGATTCCCACAGCGCCAGCAATAAGCCTGCTACTCCTGTACTGGGAACTTAAGAGTTAGAATAAAAGGACAAAGAAATAAGGTGCCATCCAGCATCTTTCAATAGCTGCGCTCACTTCTTACCTGGTCTTCTGGGATTTACCTGACTTGCTGGATTTGACCCTTTTCAGCAGCATTCAATATACACTTGGGACGCCTCCTTATAGTCACACAATAAATATATATACCTTTACTCACTGCTGTCATATGTTCTAGGCCAGCTATGAGGCCACAGACAAAATCATTCTCATTTATCCAAAAAAGTACTCTGTTTCAGAGCACTCCCAAGGCCAGTAAGAGGCTGATCTAGAGCCCCTTTACCTTTAACAAAGTTAACAATAATTGGAAAAAACACCTGTAAATACAAATCCAGTTAACTCTTAAAACCAGTAAATTATTACTTCTTTAAAAATAGAGGAGCTATACCTTACATCTAATAAGATATAATCTAGGTTATCAGAGCAACCAAAATTGTGTTTCCCAAATTTGTCAGCAGGTGTAAGCAAGTAAAGAACATGAGACTATAAACTATTCCTGCTCAGTTTCCTTACAAGCAGTCTCATTAAAGCAGAGATGAAAACCCAGTTTCCTTCCAAACCTGGACCTTGACCCTAGGGGGTATGGGAATCTGCTAGCTGTTTGGCACAAAACACACTGTTTTTCCTTTCGTTATCGTTCAGATCGCTAATGCTTCGTGCAGGACACTGTTTACGTTACTTCAACTAGGCTTTCTGTAGAGTGACGACATTCTCATTCATTCTACCAGCTATGGCACAAGACACCCTTATTTATTCAATCTGAGGTAAAGCCTATCTTGGATTTCCCCTCCTCCCTGTTTTATTTTTTGCTTGTCAAAGCACTCTTTCTCAGATATAAGTTTATCAAAACAAAGTACTAAAACACAAATCCAGAAATATTTTTCTCTCATTTTAAGTTACTTGGGCATTCTTAACTATATATTATCAATTGAGGAGATAAAAGCTTTGAATTAAAATATCTGACTCAAATGTCATTACACAGAATATCTGAGTAGTCCTCCCTTTGCCAAAACTAGGAACATTTTCTAAGACATAGGACTCACCTGGAATCCTAATGAAAGACCAGCCATTGTGAGGCCTGATGCTCCACAGTCCTCCAGGTGGCTCTGGGAAGAACTGTGACCGTCGATTTAACCAGTCTGTAGCCAGTTCAGGGGCCCCATTCAACAAACACTGCTTGGCTGCCAAACTCCCTCCTTCTTTCAGCATGCGCTGCTCATACTCTGCACTTCGGTCATTACAGTAATAATCCAGCGGCACTGCGGTGACCTGTAAGGAAAGATATTAAAAAAAACCCCTCTTTCACATTTTTCAAACAGGCCAAGCTTTTAGAGAATCTCAACCTCAAAATCTCTCAGTCCAGTGGTTTAATATCCTGTTCTGACAAAAGTGGCTTTTCTTACTGAGCATCCTCAGTATAAGGCCAATCTGGAAACAAACTAAAGATCTAAAGAGAGTCGGAGTTTGCAGTCAAACTGGGAAATCAGGTCAGGGATAACTCTCGATTTAACTACCTACATATTCATCTCCCCACTTGAAAGCTCTATTAGCCATACGGAGAACAGTGATGCCAGAAAAACAGCTAGTTAATTATAATTTAAAACCCTGAGAACTAATGACTTTTGATTACTGGAAGCTCTTAATATTTTTGTGGCAGAATACTTCTATTTTTCTTTAACTAGATTGTAGATGGACAAACACAATAGGAATAAAAAAATTAAAGTCTTCTTTTTCTGACTATTAGCTGGAGGAAAGAAGAGTGAACAATTAGCGGAGTATACTAGATTCATTTCCTAGCTAGGGCAGAGGTCATACATATCATTATCCAACAACAGGTGCAGCCCAGTAACACATGTTGATCACTCATCAAGGAGTAGAGTATCCTTGCCAATTTAGAAATATAGGCTTTATCCTACTCCAACTAGGGTTTGTTGATTCCTAATCCTAACAAGCAGCTGTGTCAGATAGCTGTGAAATAATCTGATAAGCAGTTTGGTGAAGATAAGAAAGCTATCTTTGTTAAAATTTGGAAGTTGTGATTATCTGCCAATTTAGGTTGATATAAAGTATAAAAGCTCATTATTATTGTTGTTGTGTACCACAGAGTCAGAACCTATCCATTGCTGACCGTCTGGTAGGTTTTCAGAGGCAGTTAATCGCACTGAGGAGACGGCACAGAATGGCAAGACTTCATAATTACAGCACAGCTTCTTGCCACTAGGCCACCAGAGCATTTTAGAATTAGTAAATTGCTTTGAAAAATCTTGGAATTAGACCAGAAGCAAAGTTGGATATAAGGAATAAGAGAGAAATAAGACTATACAACACTGGTGGTACAATTTTATTTAGGTGGTTTTGGGGAGCTCTGGTGGCTTAACGGTAAGGAACTGTGTTGCCAACCCAAAGGTTTAAATCCACCAACTCCTCTGAAGAAGATGGGCAATCTCCCAATCAATGTTTAGGGAAATGGTTCTCAAGTTTTAGTGTGCCCAAGAACCTTTTGTGGGAATTAGTCTAAAGTGTAGATTTTGATCCAGAAGTCTAAGGGCAGGTCATTAGGTCTTTATTTTTAAACTGTACCCCAAAACTACAAGTCACACCTTGAGAAATGCTGCCCTTGGGGTTATAAACAGTCAGCTGCCTTGGAGACTACAGGGTTGCAGGTGCCTCTGTTGCAGACAAGAGGATTCCAAGAACAGAGAAACAGCATCACTTAGCAACAACCAGAAAACATTCTAGCCCGGAATGCAGATGAAGTGGAACTGAGTTTACTACAGAGCAGTGCCATCTATGGCTTGGATGTAAAACTACAGAGGGTTACAGAAGACTGGGTCCCCAGAACTCCAAAAAAGGCAGTTTTAGATAACCTCTTACCACCCTGACCTTCTCCACAAGGAATATTTCCAAGTAATTTATTTTTTTCCATTGAAATGTGAATATATGCAAATGAAGAATAAATTACAAAACCCAAACCAAAAAACCCTCATGCCACTGAACTGGAACCAACTCACAGGAGACTCTATTGGATTTCCAAGGCTATAAATCACACAGGAGGAGATTGCTCATCGCAGCCTTAGAGTCATCAGCACAACTTGCCAGGCACCTCTAACTACTATTATTTATTACTAAAACCCAAAACATTTTTGGGGGGATAGTAAAGGAGGACTGAAATGGTTTAAATAAATAAACAAACACTTTGGGCTCACAGTTACAAGATAAAAATCAAAAGGTAGAAAGTCAGTATGAGGAAAAGGAGGAAAATGTAAAAGGCCTTTCTGTTTGCAAGTCTTTTCTAGGTACTCTGGCTTAATAATAAAACAACTTTTTCCAGATGTAAACCCTAACACTCTTTTCAATGATCATTTTTGCAGCTATCCTTCCAAGTTTAAGGCTGAAAATTGGGAGGTTTGTAAGTCATTTACTAGTGAAATATGTTTCTCAAAGCTGCTTTTGAACATCCTTGCATCAAGATACACGCAGAAACATAGAATATCAATGCATTACATATAAGCTGTGTACTCATGATGCCCACGAGGTCATTCTACTTAGAACAAATTCTGCTTCCTAAGTCTAAATCTAAAGTCTTAAATTTCTAAGTCTAAATTTCTCTATCCCAAAATGCCTCCACCTATTCTGCTAATGTCAGTGGTCTTTCTGATTTCTTAAAAGCATGGTGAGATGAAGCATAACATATTATTCTTCCCTTCTACAAATGATATATACTCCTTTTACTCCTAACATGCATTACCTCTTATTGTTCCGCTTCACCAACCTGCTAAACTATCGTACTTTCAAAGGCTACATCAAGAATTCAGCGCGTCCTTCCTGAGGACATGTGTGTTCCTGCCTAACTCAAGTAAGCATAACAGCTCTAAGTGCTTTAGCATTTTTTGTAAGATGAATTCCTGGGTCTTATTTATTAACTCCATGTTTCTCAGCTAAGAAGGGAAAAAAAGCTTCTATATTAATTCCTTCCTCAGTGGAAAAGCTCTTTCTAAATTGACCTTAAGTTTTCATAGCATATGACAGGGAAATTGTCTTAACTCAAGGTCAGCACTGAGGCTTCAAAGGCAAAGAGTTTCCCGTTCCTCAAGTTATAAAATTAATCAGATAATGGAAACATCTCAAAAAAAAATCTCAGGAAATGTCTTGTTCACATGGCTGCCTTGATGAGAGCTTATGTCCATGAATTTTTTTTCTTCTTTTAAAAAATTTTATTAATTTTTAATTTTATTATTATTATTTTTTTAATGCACTGTCAAATTGGACCTGACTGGTACAGGAGGAGATTGCCCCTCCTTCTCTAGCAGAGCATCCGGTAGATTCGAACTGCATGCCTTCAGGATTGCAGCGCAGCTTTTTGCCACTAGGCCACCAGAGCTCTCAGAGTTCTCTTGTTTTTGAAATTTTAAGAGATATTTAAACCACTCCCACCTGTTCTTGCTTTCATATTTAATGTATTAAGAAACTCTGTGAGGGGGGGAAATGAAGAGAGAGGCAGATTAAGAAAGGTGGATGACACAAAAGAGCCCTTTAGCCAAATGATAAAAATACTGTCTTACTCCTTCCTGGCTATCATCACATATTCAGTCTTCCCCAGATACAATTTTTTGCTGTGCAGGCAAATAGGAGGACTGGGCAGGAGGAAGAGATTCAAGCTACTTTGAAAATAACAAAATAATACACTTAGAGTTATGCATATGCATGTGTGAATATGTTCAGAGTGGGGTTGTCCATAAGGGTTGGAGCTTTGGCTAGTAACAATGAAAATCTTTCATGTCTGCAAATGCACATACAGTTGCACGTAGTTCACCTTCTATTTGTTCTATAAGGAATATAAGAAGCAAATATAATAATAGTACCCACAGTCTTTTGGTTTTGATCAAGAATAGAAAAGAGATGGAAGATGTAAGCAAAGTAACTTACTCCTGGCTACCAAAGAGAGCCTGTGCAGCAAGGTTGCCAGCAATCACAGGAGTACTATGTTTTGATCAACAGGGTTTTGAGAAGATCAAGACAGCTATTCAAAGCTGAAGCTGCAAATAAACTTCTCTCAATCTGCAAATAAGTCACTGTTCAAGAGCATGTACTTTTGTGAACCACAGTTCAGGTGGCCCTACTAGGAAAGTGAGGAGGGGAAGAAAACCAGCCTTAGAAGCGTTCACTACTAGAGTCATGTTTCCTTTTGTTATTTGGAGACTGTACTGAGGCAATAAAGCCAGATCAAATCTCTCCCTCAGTTTGGCCCTCTCCTATGAAAAATCCCTCAAAAACCTCAATGCAAGTGACAAATGACTCCTCCTTTTCAAATATTCTACTGCCCCTGACTTGGCTGTTGGGTTATATTCAAAGCAACAGATGGCTTGTCTTTATTGTAGTTTAGAGCCCCTGTCTAAATAAGAGGACACAGAAACATGGTCAGGGAATGAAGTCACTCCTATCCACCATACAACTATTCTCAAACCAAAAGAATAAAAGGGACAAAGTGCTGACTTAGGAAGGCTAAGACTGTGGGTACTATTATTTTCAAATACTGAAGATTTATGCTTTTCAAGGTTCAAATAATTTAATTCTGTTTAAGAAATGGATCACTGAAATTGGGTTTATTTCTTCAATTACTATCTAATTTGTGTCTCCCCTCCTGGGGCACTTACTCGTGGACTGGCCACACATAAAAAAGACGGTAGCTCGGTGAGTAGACAGCAACGAAGGGAGGAGGTAGATGATCTCTGCTGATGGATGACATGGTCTGAGTAGCCACTCACTGCTTTACAGTGACTGCTGAAAACAAGAGACTACCAAAAACAAACAAACAGCAAGTTAATTATATACAAAAAGCAAGTTAATTATATAACACAGTTAAGGTTATAATCACAATATGTAGTTTTATTAATGTACTTTGAACCAAGTGTTATTTTTACTCTCTCTCTCTCTCTCTATATATATATATATACCATGGACTGCTAGGAAAACAAACAGATTCACCCTGGAAAGAGTTAAACCGGGCGGCTCCCTGGAGGAAAGGATTCTGAGGCTCCGTCTAACATACTTTGGACATGTTGCAAGGAGAGACCAGTCCTTGGAGAGGGACATCATGCTTGGAAGGGTGGAGGGACAGCGCAGGAGGGAAAGGCCCTCTATAAGGTGGACTGATTCAGTGACTGGGGTAATCAGGATGGGTGTATCAGAGACAGTGCAATTGGCACAGGACAGAGCAGAGTTTAGGGCTGTTGTACACAGGGTCGCTATGAGTCGAAAGCGACTCGACGGCACATTACAACAACAACAACAACAACATATACATTGTCAATTAAAAAGTCACAGCAGGGGAGCTCTTGTGGCCTAGTGGCAAGAAGCTGCACTGCAATCCAGAGGCGCAAGGTTTGAATCCATCAGATGCTCTGCTGGGGAAGGAGGGACAATCTCCTTCTGTACCAGTCAGATCTGATTTGACCTACCTACACACACACACACACACACACACACTCTCACAGCAATAGCTTCCGTAGACATTTGTGTGTATATGATGAAGAAAAATATAGTTTTTACTGCAGACACAAAATACATGTCTAGAGTTAAGCACAATGAGTAATTTCATTCTTTAATTTGTTTAAACCAGATCAATTTAGCATCACTTGTATGTTTATCAACATGCCACAGCATGGTCTACCAAGGTTACCATTCTTTTCTATTTTTAAAGTTCTCATTCTTGATATACCAATAGAAGTGCTCAGGAACAGAAAACAAAGTATTTAGTTCTTCTACCTGACCATCATTTAAAAATACAAATTTCCCATTCATATTATTATATCACGAATACATTTTGACAGACCTTATAGCTAATGTTAAAAGATTCCACTTGTAGGTATTCACATGAAGGATTTTAAATATGAACATTCACATATAAGGAATTCCTCAATGGGAATGCAGAAATTCTTTAATGCCATCTTGGACATTTACCTCTTTATATTGTATTTCCATTTCAAGTGTTCACTAATATCTTTGGGTCTCCATTCTTACTCATTTCACCTATTTATTTACTAGTTTCTCAAAAAGGAAGCGGAAATCTACATACATAACCTTATAGATAAAGATTACAAACATAGTAGTCTACATACATTCTTGTAAGGTCAAGAAAACAAACTGTAAAATTAGAACACAACCAGGACCTTTTGTAAGAGTAAGTTATAGTCCCTAAAGATTTCCAGTACCAACACTGCTTTACTCAGTATGATATCCTGCTCCACTCATATCAATTTGTTTTACACAGGATTTCAATATTTCCCTGCAGTAAATGGGTTCTTCAGGACCATAATTTAAGGGAAGGCATCAAATTGTCTAATAGGAGATATATTTCATTATCTGCTTTTACAAAGTAATCTACAGCTTCTAATGAATGGTCATGAACAAACTGAAAAGCTTTAATGTTTTTTCGCCAGACAGTTAAACTGTCTTCACTGGTCTGTAATCTCACAGTATGAGAGTTTTCCACTACTTTATTATAACCCTTGTATGATGTAACATTGATGTGTCTGGCCTCTCCAGATGTTCAGGCTCTCTTACCTTATGCATGCAAGAATTTTATTAATCTTCTGAGTTTTTCTAGCATTTGTATTCTCATCTTGATGCTGGCTCAAAATGGAAACTCACTGTTTTTTGAGTTGAAACTGATTCATAGCTAACCCTCTCTAGTATGCTGACGAGGCTGACAAAAAAAAAAAATCACACTGGAGATTGGTCACCTTTCTCCAGCAGAGGCACTGGTGGATTTAAAACTAAAAAGGCACTGTCTTTGGGTTAGCAGCACAACTCCCTACAGACTATGCCACCAGAGCTCCCTTTATATTGGCTGGCATCTATTTTAAATTATCTGTCCTGTCCCTCTGTGTTTATGTCCATTAACATCTAAATGTCTAGCTGAGGGTCATTATAAAGAGGCTATTAGGCTGGGGCCATCCTGTTCTTTAAAACACACACACACCCCTCCACCCCCCCGTAACTAGGGATGCTAATGATAGAAAGAGAATGGATGCCTTTGAGCTGTGGTGCTGGAGAAGAGTGTTGAATGAGCCATGGACTGCTAGGAGAACAAACTGGTTTGTTCTGGAGAAGGTGAAGCCAGGCTGCTCCTTGTAGTCAAGGATTCTGAAGCTTCGTCTGACATACTTTGGGCATGTTGCAAGGAGGGACCAGTCCTTGGAGAGGGACATCATGTTTGGGAGAGTGGAAGGACAGTACAGGAGAGGAAGACCCTCGATGAGATGGATCAACTCAGTGATTGAGGTGGCAGGAGTAGGTGTGTCTGAGACAGTGAGGTTGGCACAGATAGAGCAGAATTTAGGGCTCTTGTACACAGGGTTATATGAGTCAAAAGTGACTCGAAAGCACATAACAAAAACAAATTATATATATAAATCCAATTGGTGATGCACAAGTGACAATTTCAACTAAATACTGTTTTCTAAAGTTGTATTTCTGATGTCAGTGGTAGCTCTTCTTGACTGTCCTGGTGAGTGGAAATAGTGACAGCAATCTGATAACTACTGCTCCTCTCAGCCATCTGCAGAAGCAAGCAAGGGGCTATCAACTGAAACAGGGAATACACTACCATCCAGATCATTCCTGAGCAGAAGGAAGTAACAGTAGTAGAAGGAAGTAACAGTAGTAGAAGGAAGCAGCAGTAACCTATGCAGTGACTTTTGAGGTTCTTGACTAACTTCTAAAGGGCACAACCTGAACAACGTCTGCAGACTGTTTCTCCAAGTCATGATCATTCTGAATACTCTAAAATGGCAAAATTCAAATAACTACTTCTTACTTCATTCCCAAGGCCATAAAGGCAGAAGAGGTAAGAATGAGCATTTCCTTCAATTATTCTCTTCTACACTACTGTCATTACTGAGAAAGGTGTACAGGACGCACTGTTACTTGTGAGATGTTCTCTCACATTACTTAAACCATTACTTGTGCTCCTACTCTAATGCCACACTCCTCTATAGAGTCCAGTTTTGTGAATGACTTGCTCAGCATACAAACTTAACAAATTATGGAGAAAGATACAATCCTGATGCACACCCTTCCCGATTTTAAACCATGCAGTGCTCTGGTACTCTATTCTAACAACTTCTTGATCTAAGTATAGATTTCTCATGAGCACAATTAAGTGTTCTGAGATCTAGTAAAATGCCTTTGCATAGTTAATAAAGTACAAATAGACATTTAAAAATAAAACATTACTTGTGAAACCTTTCTGGAAAAGTCTGCCTAGCAATAATTACATTTCCAGTAGAGGTCATTCCCAAATTAGAACAAATCTGCTTGTCTTATATGATCTAGGTTAAAATTGTATTTTCACTAGAGTCAGATGTTGTGCAGTTTTTAAAATTCCAATATAAAATAATTCATAAATTCAAATGCTCAACATTCTTCGTTAGCTTTAGAGAAACACTGACTACCTCCATAACATTTTACTGTCAATAAACACCTTTCTAGATCATCTTCTCTTAACATTAGTTCCATTAAATCTTCCTTAGTGCAGGTGGTTCTTGGAGATGCATAATAAAATAAGCTGTTAGACAGTAACAGATCTAGAAACCTTTAATGTCTGAAACAGAAGAACATAAATGACACTTTATACAATTACTACTTAAGAGGTTTAGGGATAGGGACAGAGAAAGTAATTCAGTGTTTCTTCAGTGTATTTTGACCAAAATTTAAAAAAAAAAAAAAAAAAAGGAAACAATGTTACACTAGTGGTGATGTGACTTGGTTATAATTTGGTCACGGCTTTTGCTATTCTGCTGTCCCTTTCTTATGCTCTTAACTGGCTCAATACCCTGTAGGCACCAGCAGCTGTGTGCCCCTTGCTGCCAACACCACAATGTGCACATAGTAGTGAAGTTAGCTTTTTTGTAAAGAGACTTTTGGCACCAAGTAAAGGTCTCAAGTGAAAATAAGTAGGCCAGGATGATAGGCCTCACAGCTGCACAATTCTTGCCACATTGTATCACAGAAAATACATCCAAGATGTTCCTTCAGATACAGGGGCCAGGCTTTGTTGGCCATGTCTTGCTTAAAATTTCATTAAAAAACCCAACAAACTTATATTAATGCTAGATCCTCATTATTTTAGGGGGGAAAATTTTTTTTTCTTATGTTCTTAAAGAACATGCTGAATTTAGATTTTAAAGGTTTCAATTTAAATGAAGGCAAGAACAACTTACAGATCAAATGTTATACTACATAAATCCTAGTTTCACTCATATTGTAAGTGAACAAACAAAAATGGAGAAAAGTAAAATACAAAAAACCCTCTGAACACAATTGCTTCCCAGAGTGTTCCACAAGGGGCGTTGGCAGCTCTCAGGATCTCAGGAAATGATGATAGATAGATACTGTAGCTGAAAATTAACATTTATCGGAAGTGTTTTAAAAAACTTCCTGTTTGGGGATCCTTCATTGATAGTTAACAGAGTATAATGTTTAAAGTTTAAACATCTATCACTTAAAATAATTATGTTTGGAGCTTTTGGTATATTTTGAGTAACAAAATCTGAAATGCTTTCAATCTCTGAGCAACTTGACTCACTAGATTTACAGAGGTTATAAAGCTTTCAGCGCATATCATGCATAAGTAAATCATTACCATGACAACAGTTTCACAGAGCCTAAGCTAAGAGATGGAATCAACACTTGTACTGCTCTGCCAACCATTCATTTTTAATGTGACATTTAATTGGATAAAGCCTAAAATTGGTTTTATCAACTAAAAGATGATCAAGTTATGAACTACAGG